ACTTATATATCATACCGACATACACAGCTTAAAATATGTATAGCCAGAACATCAATTTAACATAATTCGTTTGATAGTAGGATTGACAGCGTTGATTACCGTGCTAGAGAGTGAATCAACTCAGCGTCAAACATATTTAGTATATGTTAGATTCATATTGATATTCTGCAACTAAAATGTATAAGAATTGATTTGAATGTTGTGAAACGTGTATTGAAAGTAGTTGCAGTAGTCAGCTTTGACGTTGTTTGAAAAGTCGAACCAAGTGAAAAGTGACATACGTTCGCTGGAAAGTCACAAATGTTGGATGGAAAGTCGAAAAATACGTTGCGGAAGTAATCTGGAAAATAAAATAAAGCTGTGTGGAAAGACGAAAAATCAGTTGCAATGTGGGAGGCATTAGCTGGAAAGTCGAAAATGTTAACCACAGTTTCAAAAACCAATAAAACCTTTACATACTACAGTGCAACAATGTGAACATAAATAATAGGCAATGCATACTCTGGGAATACTATATTGTTGGACTGCGTTGATGAAGTAGTGATTATTTTTTCTTTAAATTATAGCTAGATGGTGCCCTAACGTTCTGCGTGCCATACACTTGTTTGAATTCTCGGTTAATACTTGTCTGAAAAATATTTGTCTCTTTGCTCGAAAGGTGATTTCTTTTCGATAGAATGTCTAACGGTGGAGAGCAGGAGGTAAGTTTATTACACAAAAGTTTTATTCCGAAATTAAGCACATCGCCTCACTTCTAGAACATAGAATAAACGTGCTTGATATTTGATGGTATTTAGTTTGATTTGTATGACAATCGGACTAGTGCTTTCCACGCCGTATTATTAATTACGAGGAAGCTTGATTTTTCCTACAAAGATAGTCGATATGTAAGTGTCCGTAAATGTAATATTTCATTCACATTTCATTGAAATGCGTGAATCATGTCACTGTCGAGTAGTACGCCCTCTACATCGCGCAGGGAATTTACGCAATAATTAACCAAAATCGCAGACAATATAAATAGTTTGTTGATGTTAGAGGGCGCACTTCCAAATTTGATTATAATATCTTCTCCCCGGTGACTACCGATTGTTTACCCATGTCTCAGCATGACAGTAGACGCACATAGCCGCAGTATTCGTTCATGATTCATTGCTGTCAAAAACATACCCAGACTTGACGTGACGTGACTTGACGTTGCCTGACGCTCTCGCTTATATTTTCAATGACTTCACCAGCAACAGTTGCTTTTCAATTCCATGAGTATTTTTTTGAAACTTTGGTTTAGTGTGAAAATCTAAAGAACCACTTGAAGCCCAGACACTTGTTTTAGAGGTACAATGTACTACAACATCTACAACATCTAGACTGACTATTAGATAATTATCATTTATTTAATTGTGGCTTGTTGTATTACATAGCACTGGTATTCCAATTACATAACTTATTCTGCTCTACAACCATCGAACAATTTGACACTAATTTCACTTGCAACTAATTCAGGTGATGTATTGCTTCTTTCAACAAGTCAGCAGACTGCAAAATGGTATCAATGCCATAAAAAACTGAGACGATTGGAAACTATAAGTCAATCTGAATAAATAATTCTGAGTTTATTGTTTTCAACGGAAAGAGTATGTAACGCCCGGGAATATTACACAAACACAAGGTGGTAGAGTTCAATGCAATATTCCGTTCTTTTATTTCTGGATTCCACACAATAAAATTATAACGAAAATACAACCAGTATGAAGTAAAACCCTGACTGGAGAACCGCCACTGATACATAGCTTCAATAATAGAGTATTAATTTGGTGCAGATATTTGCGTCAATAAAAATTATGAATGGCTAGGATTAACAGTGATAAAAAGAAGTAACTTCAGCGAACCCATCAGAACGTACATCTTTGATCGGTCAAGAGAAAGTGAATGAAGAAATAAAATAAAAATGGTATCAAATCTAAGCATTGCATTTTGAAAAATAATTAAACAACAACAATGGGCACTGCTTAAAAATAGAG